GGCACTTGCCTAGCATGCAGGCCGTAGGATCCCCCCCAGCACTGCAAACAGACAACGGAAGGAGGGAAGGAAGGGAGGGAGGAAGGGAGGGAGGGAGGAAGGAAGGGAGGGAGGGAGGGAGGGAGGAAGGAAGGGAGGGAGAGAGACCGGCCGGCCCAAGTGCAGACCCCACCTCAGAGCTCCTGGATCAGCGGTGCACGTGGGCTGGATCTCCACCAGGGCAGGTTACAGCTCGAGGAGCCGGGATTTCCCTCAGCTGCCCGCCACCTCTGAGGAAGCTGAGGTACTATCCAGTAGCCCCTCCACATGAGCAAGGGCTGCTCCCCATGTCAGCTGCCTGCTGTTCTGCTCAGCCTCAAGGAGCCCACCGCCCACCTGCCACAGCACCGAGGAAGCCCTCCCTGGAGAGCAGGAGGGCGCTTCGGCAGAAGGCTGCTGTCCTGTGAGTGGGAGTCAGTGCAGGAGCACCGCCAGGTGTGATCCCAGGTGGTCTGCTCCAGAGCGCTCCCTCTCACCACCTGCCCCATTTTCACACCCTCAACTGGCCCCCATGTCATTGTCCCCATTCCCCAATGAGCAGCCGAACCCTGGGAACACTGGCAAACTGCAACAAGAGGCCAACAGGATTGGCGCAGGTGCCGTGGGCCCAGGATGCCTCTCCAGGAGATAGAGGAGCCCACTCAGGGCCCCTGGAAGACAGAGAGCCAGACCCAGCCTCCTGGGCAGTGCAGCCTCTGTGAGCCCCACCAGCCTGACCAGCTCCCAGCCCTCAGTCCTGTTGCCATGGCCACCACTAACAGCCGGGATGGAGCGCGTGACTAGCCTTGGCCGGGGCTGAGCGTCCGAGGCCCTCCAGCAGTGCCAGGCAGGTAGGGGCTCCTCCCTGCCTGCGGCTCAGCCCCAGCCCTGGGACCCAGCGTCCAGGGCAGAAGAGGGAGCAGGATGGGGCCAAGGGTCAAGTGTGGCTTCCCAGGGGAAGTGAGGGGCTCTGAGAAGCCAGGAGAAGGGGAGGCTGACTTGGCCAATCCAAAGAGCAAGAAGGGCCGACTCCTGAGGCTGGTCAGAGCCTTTCCCTGGATCTGTCTCCCACTTCTGTCACCTTGGGTGACCTTGGTAAGTGATGGAAACTTGAGGTCCCTTGAGTTCTCATTCATCAAACGAGAACAACAGTCGTGTCTCCTCGTGGAGATTCTTGTCCCCAGCGCCTGCCTCTCCCTTTAATGCAGTTTCTCACCCCTTCTCCATTGGGAGACTTCGCAGCCCGCTAGCATTAGCTGGGCCAGGGAGCATGGACAGGCCATGGCCACAGGCCGCCCTGCCACGTGGCTCAGCTTGTGCTCTGCACCTGACGTCCCCGAGCGAGCACGCTTGGGTTGTCAGTGAGCAAGGGGACAAGGAGGGAACTGGAACTCGGGCGCAGCCCGGCAGCACCCAGTGCTTCACAGTCTCCAGCAGGGCCACGGCCAACATGCACGCCAGCGAGTGGGGACCAGAGCTCGCTGTTCCAGCCACTGACTCTGTCGGGGGTGCTGTTCATGATGTGCACTATCCCAGCAAAAAAGAAACTGAGGCACACTGTCCCAGAGGGCTCCCAGAAGAGTTCTGTGAGTGGGGAACAATGCCCTGCACAGACAGCGTGTGAGCCGCCCAGGCCCTGCCTGTGGCCATGCCCGAACAGCACAGCTGGTAATTTAGAAAGAGCAGGGGAGTACTGGGCTCATGCTTCTGGAGCCTGAGAAGTCAAGAGTCTTGTGCCAGAAACTGGTGAGGGCTTCGTGCCACATCCCACCACGGCAGAGGGTACCTTGTGGCAAGGCAGAGCAAGCCAGTTGGTGTCTCTTCCTCTTCTTATAAAGCGACTGATGCCATAATGAGCCACCCTCAAGACCTCATCTAATCCAAGTGACCTCCAAAGGCCCCACCTCCAGACACCATGAGCGAATGGATGTGGGGGTGAATTTCCAACACACAGACTTTGGGGGACATTGTGGAACCGTGGCATGGCCCGGCATCTCCCACCCCACGCGCTCTCCTTACAGTGTGCTTTGACATTGCTCCCATCAAGGGTAGTGTTGACGTTCCTTTCCCTTGAATCCAGAGAGGCCAGGGCCTGCAGCAGAAGAGATGCATCGCGACCTCGGACACCAGCTTCCACCTGGTTTTCTTGAGATGCTCATGCGTGGAGCCCGGCTGCCATCTGTGAGGAAGCCCGCACTCCCCAAGGCGAGGCTCTTACAGAGAGAAACCAAGAGCCCAGGACCACCTGTCAGCCACGCAGTAGGTGGACACTCCTCTAGGTGCGCCTTCTTGGAAGCGGATCTCCTAGCTAGATGACACGTCTCAGCTGGTGTCTCACAAAACAAAGGTGAGCTGTCCCTTCAGACCTGCCCAGATTGCAGGTTTAAGAGCAAAACCACTGACTTTGGAGGCTGTTTGCTCTGTGGCAATAACCAAAACAAGAGGAATGTGCCGAGGAAAAGCCAGGAGTTGGGCTGGCTGGAATGAAGGTGAGCGGGGCTAGTGCTGGCCTCTGCTCCGTCAGTGGGCGCTTTGGGAGCCTGCTAAGCAGGTGGTGCAGAGTGATACTAAGCTGGCACACAGTGAGGGACAGAGGCAGAGGAGACATGGGGTAGGGGCGATGGGGTAGGGGCGATGGGCTAGTGGCCTTGCCACAGTCCTGGTGAGCGGCAAAGGCCAGAACCAGGGCGGTCGAAGCCAGACTGGAGCAGACAGGGCAGGAGGACAGGCGTGGACTCAGTGGACTGCAAGACATGGATAACCGAAAGCAGAAAGAGGCCGTCAGACAGCTAGGAGCTGGGGGCAGTGGGAGAGGTGAGCCAGCGGGAGGAAGGGCAGCGGAGGGGCGGGTGGGCAGGAAGAGGGCAGGTGGCCGCCTCCCGCTGTTAGCTCCCCAGTCAATGGGCTGTGCTGACCGTCCCTATCCTTCTGTGCTGTTAACTCTCTGTTGTGTTTAAACCAATTTTAATCAAGCCACTTAAGTCACTGCTGTACTGAATGTCTGAATGCCAGTGTCCCTGCAAAACTTGTATGTTGGAAGCTAACAGGCAAAGGGAGAGTGTCAGGGGGGCCTTGGGGACAAGAAGTCCTAAGTGACACCCTCAGGAATGGGATCAGTGTCCATACAGAAGTTGAAGGAGCTCCCTGGCCCTTCCTACCACACGAGAGCACAGGGCAAAGGCTCCATCTTTCTTTATCTTAACATTTTTTTTAGTTGTAGGTGGACACAATTCCTTTATTTTATTTTGATGTGGTGCTAAGGATCCAGCCCAGGGCCTCACACGTGCTAGGCGAGCGCTCACCACTGAGCCACAGCCCAGCCCCAAACCACCATCTTTGAAGAAGAAAGGGGGCCTCTCCACACACCCCATCTGCTGGCAGCTTGTCGTAGACTTGAGCCTCCAGAGCTGTGAACAGTGAATTGCTGATATTTACTACCCAGCAGAAGGGGTTCTGTAGCAGCACCGTGGACTGGAACAGCGCCATGGATAAAGCAGGCCACCGCTGTGACTCCATCTCTGTGAAGTGTCACAGGACAGGCAGATCCACAGAGGAGGGGTTGGGAGAGCAGTGGCCTTTCCAAGGGTTCAGCAAAACCCGTGGGCTGGTGAGAGCCACTCTCTTGACCCCTGAGGGGTTTCCATGGTGGACGCACGAGCTCAGCTGGTTGTGTTGTGTGCCGAGGCTCCACGTCCTCCGTGGTACAGGCGAAGCCTCATTCAAAAGCTAGAAAAATAAGGCCGAAGAGCCCGGACGCAGGAGCCAGGCTGTTCTAGGGTCCCCAGGCTGTGGGAGAAAAGGAGTGGCTCCTGAGACCCGGAGGAGGGTGGCGGAGGGAGAAGGCGGGCGCCCACCAGGCCTCCGTTGCCTCTGACAACCGTCCTGGGGGCTGCACGTGTGCAGATGTCCGAGAGGGCTGGAGGCAGGACCAGGACTCCTGCCCTTGCTCAGCAGGGAGTCCTTTCCAGGCCGTTCAGCCAGGTGTGGGGCTTGAGGCTGGGCCCTATGTCAATGTGCAGGACACACGTCCAGGCAGCCGTCCTGACTGTGGGGCCCTCCACATCCCCAAGGCCTGGCATCCGCACTGCCCTCTGTGGGGGGCCAGCCTGGCAGGGCTGGGAGGTTCCCAGCATGAGTGCGAGGTGGCAGATGCAGGCTGCTGCCTCAACCCTAAATGGGGGGACATGAGGGGTTCACAATCCCCAGATCCTCAGGGGACCTCAGCCTAGGTGTCCCCAGGGTCTCTAGCTCCATCACTCCTCTGTGGGTCCTTCCCTTCTTGCCTCTTCTCAAGCAATAAAGGGAGAAATGTGCCCAGAAGTGAAATGTGTTCGTGTGTGGCGTGTCCCCTGAGTGTCTTTGTTTACCTGGGGCTTTGGCTGCACAGATGGTGCGCTGAGGGGCCTCCAGCCATGTGACATCAGCTTGGCCTCTGAGGGGCTGGAGGCTGAGGTCAGCCGTTCACACAACTGAGTCCTAATAAAAAGACTCCAGCCCCTGAGGCTGGGGGCAGCTTTCCTGACTGGCCACACCCCATGGTGTGTCCTGCACACTGTCAGGAGGGAGAGGGACAGCGGGAAGCTTGTTCCAGGCCTCTCCTGGCCCCACCAGACCACACCTTCAGCAGTCAGTCCCCTAGTGAAGGAGTAGACCTGAGGGGGGTCTTGGGGCCCCTAGCTGACTCCCCATGCCCCTGCTTGTGCTGGGACTCCTCCCAAGTCACTCCGTGTACCTGATCCTTGCAGGCTCTGCTATGGGGGACACAGCCTCTGGTGGAAGCCACAGGAAAGGACCCAGACACAGAAAGGGCCTGTGCGCTCAGTCCCCTGAGCCTACGTGGTGGTGTGAACATCGAGAGCTGGAGAGCACCTGGGGGCCCGTCACAGCCAGATGTCTCCCCCCTGCCCAGCGAGCCTCTGGACGCCCCAGACCTTGTTCCCTGGGCCGCTCCATCTCCACCTCGAGAAGTAAGAGCCGTCATCACTGTTTCGCAGGATCTTTATTCACAATGCAAAAAAGAAACCACGAATCACTGCGGGGTCTGCTTCAACCTCTGGAGCTTGTAAGAAAGGCAGCCGCTCCACTGGAGAGGAGCTCTTGCTGCCCTCAGGGACCAGGGCCCCGGGAGTGCGTGTTCATTTGGAAGATGGCCTTCCTCTGGCTCCCTGGCAGGCGTCACCATGGCCACAGGACAGGGTCCCCTCCCTTTACCACAGCAGGGTCAGGGAGAGCATGGAGGCCGTGGGCCTCTGGCCTGAGATACATCATTCTTCCAGCTGCCCTGTCTTGGTCCAGGGCAGGATTTGCGGTCCCTACCCAGTTGCTCAGCACACCTGCCCGGGTGGCCACTCCTGGACGTCCAGAGCCGGGCTGTGGTGCAGAGGCTGCCTGGGTGGTGCCATCCTGCTGTTCCTCCTCAGGCTTCAGGGTCCATCTCTCCATCATCTGGGCAAGACCCCATCTCATCCAGCCAGACTAGGAGAAAGAGAGGTCAACATCCGGCCCCTCTCCCACCCCATCCAGGCCTTTCCCTGTGAGCTGCAGGCCAGGAGGCAGGGGGCCCCGAGCCTTTGCCCTGAGCTCCCCCAACATTTGGGCAGTGATGTCGCTGGAGGCTGAGAGGGGACCCCAAGCACCCCCTGGCCCATCTCCATGCCTTGCCCTCTGGAGTCTGCTGAGGTCCTGGGGTGGGGGTCTTCTTGGCACAGCCTCACTGGGGAGGGCTGGGGGAGCCAAGTGGCCCCTTGTTTTGTGGACAAGTTGAGGCCCAGCAGAGAAGGCTAATCAGGGTCCAGGAGGCTGCTGCTGGGGAGTCCCGGGTGGCTGAGAAGTGACCCGAGCAGCCTGGGAGGGCCTGGCCAGGCCCATGTCTGTTCTCCATAACGAGCACCAGGGGCACCAGAGCTCAGCCCCCACTTCCCACTGGCCTGGACCCACCTCGCCTTCCGCTCTCAGGCTCCCCTGGGCTCCCACTTTTCAGTCAGGAAACTGAGGCTCACGGTTTGCAGCTGGTAAGGGGCAGGCAGGACTTGGGCTCCCAGGGTTCCCTGCCTGTCCCCCTTCTGCCAAGGACAGTCTGAGCTTGACACAGTAGATGAGAGGGGACGCCTGTCCCTTCCCTGGACTTTCCCATCTCGGAGCCACCGAGACCCAAAGGAAACCTCTGTCAGGATATGGGCACCTCCCTGGGGCCTGGCCTCAGGTCTGACAGGCCGCCCTGCAGACCTTACAGAGTGTCCCAGCAGCCCTGGGAGTGGGGAAGGCAGTAGGGCCCGCTGAAGGCCCTGATGGCAGAGCTAAGCCCTGGGGCTGCAGCCGCCCACACCCTGTGACTGGACACTGGCCAGGTGCGGGAGGAACGCGGAGAGGGACTGCTCTTCTCTGCCTGGCTGTGTGCCCTTGAGACACGGACCCTGTCTGGACCTATTTTCTAGACTACAGACAGGGACACTGTTCACAGCCCTTAGGGTTGGGACGAGAGCCACTTGAGGCTGGTAGGAGCCTTAACCTGGTGTCAGACCCTTGGAAAGGTCAGTGGGCTTATGGCTGCTGCAGGTAGAACATGGCTGGCCCCCGCGGCTCCTGACGGAAGCTGGGCCCTCAGCCTGGCCATGCTAGGGGCCTTGTGGTGTTGGTGGGGTCACTGGGGCTGTGGCCCTGGGTGGATGGAGGCTGTTCTTGGGAGACTCTGTTTCTTCTCGTGGGTGGTTGTTAGAGAAAGCAGGACGGGCCCCTGCGCCGGTGCCCGTCTCACCTGAAAGCACTCCCTCTCACGCACCTGTCTGCGTGACGCCACCACCATGAGGTGACAGCCACGTCACCATGCTGGTTGGACTCTCGGGTATTTGGTTATAGTGTTGAGAGGAGCCCCGAACGGCCACCTGTGCAATCATTGCTGAGCACGGCCTCGCCTGGGGCTGGACAGTCTCCGTGTGGTGAGCAACTGAGAGCCACGCTCAGCACCCCTGGAACAGTCTGCCCAAGGGCCGGTCCCAGGCTGTGCCTTCAGTGCTGCGTCCCCAGCTTGTGCCCAGTAGGACCCACGTCATGACAGACCACTGCTGGGGGTGCCCAGGTGAGGCGTCTATGACACAGCCTGGGTCACACAGCCTGGTCTGAATCCCAGCTCTGCCACGTACCGGCACCAGCTGTATGCAAGAGGCTTAGGCCTGTCTGAACTTCCATTTACCCACCTGTGAAACAGGGTGAAATCGCTCTGAGAATCTCTGTGCAGACAAATAAGAAGCCCAGCCTTCAGTACAGGGCACAGCAGGGCTCAAGAGCCTCTGCTTGGAGGACAACTGGTCCTATAGCTCCAGTGGCACAGACCGAGAGCAGAGGGCACCTGTCTGGCTTCTCCCTGATGTGTGGTCCCCTCCCTGCCTGCATCCAGCTGTGTCTGAAAGGCCCAGGGTCCACCTGCACCCTGGGCATGAGCTGTGACCAGGCCTCTCCTGAATAGCCCAAGGTTTGCGACCAGGGAGACGGAGCACGGTCCTCCTGTGGGCAGGGCAAGGCGTGCCCATCAGTTTCCCTGGCTGGAGAACACGCAGCGTGGCAGTCAGCCCAGTCCTCCAATCCCCTGTCCCTGGAGGCCGCAAGGCCGTCAAGATAATTACTCAGCACACGCGGTCTTGCTGGGCTGGTGTCCTGGGGAGGGGCCCTCAGTGGGGAGTCTCCAAACCTGAGCGGGTATTTTAATAAACCCCAGGGCAGGTGGGATGTGAACTGGGCACGGGGCGCAGGGAGGAGCCCGTGAGCTGTCTCTAGCCTGGCAGTGCTGGCAGGACGGCCTCACCTGTCCGCTGGGGGTCCCTTGGCAGCGTCACACCCGTGGGCGTTGGGGGAGTAATGATGATGTTGGGCACGTCCAGGTTCTTGTCACTGAGGACCGGGGCTTCGTCGTGGCTGCTGCTGGCGCTGACACACATCTTAAAGCCTGGAAGGCAGGCACACACGTACACAGGACAGAGGCCGGCGTCAGTGGCTGCTGGAGCCCCCTCCCTTTGCCACCACCGAGAGCCAACGGCACTCAGCAAAGGGGGCATCGCTGTCCCTCCTCCACAGATAGGAAAGCCAAGGCTGGGGAAGGTTGGATGAGCAGTGAGTGCCCAGAGCAGGGTGGACACAGGCAGGTGTCCAGAACGTCACTAGGAATGGCTGGAAGCAGTAGAGCCTGGATTTGAGCCGACCCCAGCCTCCACCATGCCCAGAGTCGCTTCTCCCTTGCGTGATCCCTGCTGCGTCCTCCTTGAGGTCTGAGGAACGCAGGGCGCCGCCACTGGCCTGGGGTTGTCTCTGCGCCAGGCCTTCTGGATCGTTGGTCCCCTCGCCCAGAGACTGGTGGCACAGGTCATTTGGCTATGCCCAGTTATGGACCTCCAGCTGGATAAAGTCCTTGCCAGATGTCCCCTCCCCTGCCCCACCTGGGCCAGTGGCGCCTGCTAGAAACCAGAGCCTCAGTCTCCGTCCCCAGGCCTCCCAACCTCTTGGCCTGACTCTGCCTCCCCAGGCCTCTGCTTCTTCCTTCCCCTCTTCCACCCTCACTCATCCTGCAGCCTCCAGGTTCAACCTCCCCAGCCTCCTCAGATCCCATCACACCGCGTCCTGCTCAGGGCGCCTGCCCTGACCCTAACCCAGACCGCCAGCTACCGACAGCATTTCCCAAAGTCCGATCCCTAGAACACTGGCTTTCTGAGACTCTCAGGAACACAATCAAATAAGTTCGGGAACCACATATTCGTCTACTCTACCTTCCTCTTCCACGTTCACAGAGAAGTCCTGCCACGCGCGCGAGGAGCAATCTCATTCATTTATTAATTTAGCAGCTTAAACAACCATCAGCAGGGCTGGGGCTGTGGCCCAGCGGTAGAGCGTTCGCCTAGCATGTGTGAGGCGCTGAGTTTGATCCTCAGCACCACATAAAGAATAAAATAAAGGTATTGTGTCTATCTACAGCTTAAAAAAAAATTAGGAATGATTCCTAACTGCTTAACCCTAGGCTTTCTGAACTTCGATGACCTTTGAGTCCATTTCCTTCTTTCTTTCTTGGTACTAGGGATTTGACTCAGGGGCACTTGACCACTGAGCCACACCCCAGGCCTGTTTTGTATTTTATTTAGAGACAGAGTCTCATTGAGTTGCTTAGCACCTCGCAGTTGCTGAGGCTGGCTTTGAACTCGCCATCCTCCTGCCTCAGCCTCCTGAGCTGCTGGGATAACAGGTGTGGCCACCACGCCTGGCCCTTGAGTCGTCTCTACGACTCTATGACATGAGTCATGAGGTGTTCTGGGGAATGCTTAACTTGGGCCAGGCAGCCTCATAGTCCAGTGTGGGCCTTCAGGATGTATCCTCATCTTCTTGCCACCTGCCACTCTTACCAAACTACTTGCAATGTCCCAAACTCATCGGTACCCTGGGCCTTTGTATAATCTGCTCCTCAGACTGGACTGGGCTTCCTCTGCCAGGGTAGTGAGCTCCTACATACCCTTCAAAACCCAGCAGAACAGGCCCTTGCTGAGGGTGACATCTCAGCAGACCTGCCGGTTCCCCCCTTAGCCCTCTGTACTGTCACTGCCGGGAGGACACTCAAGCAACCCACGGAGAAGTTCCTGTGGCAGGCAGAGCCTACAGCCAGCAGCCCCGGCCAAGCCCCTGCTCCCCAGCTCAGCCTGCAGAAGAGACAGCAGCCCAGCTGCCGGCACAAATGGGCCCTCAGGGGAGACCAGGAACCAGGAAATCCCAGCTGAGCCCCATGGCTGACCACCGGGCTCCAGGCAACAAGGGCCACTCCCCAGGCTGCTCACAGCTTGTCACACTGGGGACGTCTGATAGCCGGCAAGCTTGCCTGGCCCTGGGAGAAGGGGTGGCAAGTGCATGGTGGGGAGCCACAGGGACTTCCTGGACCCTCTGGTCACCTAAGGGTATTCCTCTGAGGGACAGGTCACCCCAGGCCGTCAACGGATGTTCTGTTTGAACCATGAGAACACGCACATCCAGGCCACCTGGAGCCGCGCAATTTGGGCCACGTCCTCTGTCCGTCTGCAGTGTGGCTGGCTGGGCTGAAGGCAGCAGGCCCAGGGAGGGCACTGGCTTTGCAGCTGGACTATCTGTGCCCCTGGGCAATCACATCCCTCTGGGCCTTTGTTTAGTAAAGCCCTGGCCCTGGCCCAGGAGAGGGCTGGCCTCTGCTCTCCCTCTGGGAGCTGCTCGCCAGGCCCTGGGAGCATCCCGGCTGATAGGATGGAGCCTGGTCACACTCCATGTCCAACAACCGGCTCAGGGCGTGGTGGTCATGCGAGAGCCACGCCCAGCCAGACTGCACCTGTGGCAAACCGCGCTCTTCCCGGCCCTACCCCAGGAAGCACCAGTCTGGGTGACTTCAGCAACACACACCTGTGGCCTCAGGCAGGCCAAAGGTCAGGGGTGGAGGTGTCTCCTGAGGCTGGAGAATCTTCCAGGCCTCTCTGCTGGCTTCTGGGGTCGCTGGCAGTCTGTGGCATCTGGGCTTGTCGAAGCCTCATACGGCTTCTCCCCGCGCACCCTGTGTCCAATGTCCCTTTCTTGTAAAGACACCAGTCATCCGGTAGGGCCCCCCATCCAGTATGACCTTGTCCTGACTAGTCACATCTGCCACACCCTGTTCCCAAAGGGCCTGAGTCTGAGGTGCTGGGCTAGGACTTGGACATGTGACTCCTGGGGGACACAGACACCCTTTGCACTGGCCATCCTGCAGACACTGAGGCTCAGGTGCTCCCCAGATGGTCTGACTCACAGGGAGTGGACGGCTGCAGGGCCTGCCCCTCCGCTGCTTCCCCCGGCCCTCTGGATGCCCTTGGGATGCCCTCGGGATGTGTGTGGCTGAGTGTGGCAGCTCCCGTGTGATCATGTGTCCCTCCACATGTCATCAACCCCAGGCTGGCTTGGGTGCAGCTGCAGCAGAAGCGAGGGTGGTCTGTGTGTGCCTGGGTGTCCTTGGGATCCCTAAGGCCTGGACATGCCCAGGCCTTGGCTCCTTGAAGAACAAAGTCCTTAGGCTGACACAGACCTCCTGCCAGCGAGGCTCACTTCAGAACCTGCTTTTCAAGAATGAACAGGGCGGAGCCAGCTCAGCTCCCCTGGGAGACACCTGCACTTGTCATCAGTCCCTGTCCCCGTCCCCTCCTACAATCCCCGCTCCAGCCCACAGATGGGCCCGTCTGCCTCCCAGCGCCTGGCCTCCCCCAGGCTGGCAGCTCTCTACAGAAATCTGGTGCCACCGTCTTGGCCTCGGCGCACAGGGAAGGCGCACTCTTTGCAGTCTGTTTTAATAGGGCAGACCCCTGTGGCTGGGGAGAGTGGGCCAGGGAACTGGAGCAGGGCCAGTGCTGGCAGGGACAGAGCCCGGTCACCTTCCCTGTCTGGGGCCCAGCGTGGAGGACTAAGGCCCCTCCCTGATGTCTGGGGGAGGTGGCTGCCTCTCCCCAGGGCCGCAGAGCTCCTGGGTACCCCCAGCTCTCTGGCAACCTATCCTGCTGGGTCTGAGCCTGCTCTAAAGCAACAGAGCAGGAAACGATGCAGGGGACCACTGGAGTGGGCCTGCTGGGTCCGCTGGTGTCCCTCATCAGTCCCGACGGGTGCTGGGGCCCAGGAAAAGCGTTACCAGCCCATTTCAAAGACATGGACACTGAAGGCCGGAGAGTCATCCACACAGGTTAGGAGCTGATGTGGCAGAGCCAGGGTCTGTGCTGAACCCAGCAGTGACTACAAAGGCCTGTGCTCCTGTTACCGTGATCCCAAATGGCAGCGCTGACCAGCTTTCTGAAAGGGCCAGAAAGTTTTGCTGACTTGGGGCCACACCACAGCCCACATCCGCCTGCGGAGGACACAGCCTGTGGGAAGAGCAGGCAGGGTCTGACCCAGAAAAACTTGACTTACCAGTGCAGGCGGCCTGGGGGTGTGGCTAAGGCCTGGGGGTGCCCAGGTGAGCTCTGCACGCCAGCAGGCCTGGGGACAAGTTGATGTCCTCACGGGGCACAGAACCTTGGGAGCCCGGCTTCTTCCTGCCAGAGGCACGGCTGCCCTGGGTGGAGTAGCACCTGCCTAGCATGACCTCGCTGGCCAGGGCCACCACACTGCCTAGCCCAGCCATGGACTTGCAGGGCTCTGTCCGCCTCCTCCAAGGCTTCCAAAGAGCTCCCTGAGGCCCAACAGAAGGAGGCCCCACACCTTAGTCTCCAAAGTCCTAACAAAATGCACAGGAGAAAGGCCTGTTCCTCCAGGCCCACATTTGCATTTTAACAGGGTCCGTAGCTGCAGGACAAAGCCCACACACTTCATCTGAAAGGGGTTGCCCAATGGCCCTGGAGAGGGGAGGAGGAGAGGGGAGAGGAAGCAGGAGGAAGATGGAGAGAAGGGAGCCAGGGAGGAGCGAGGGGAGGAGGGCCAGAGGACAGAGGCCAACTGTCCCAAGGAGCTCAGGGTCCCTGAGGCAGAACTGCCCCTTGCTAATTGAGTGCCCTGCCACCCTGTGGCCTCCTTGAAGCCTGTTTCCCAAGGAGGGGGCAGGAGGGCAGGAGGAGCAGAAGGGTCTAGGCCCAGGGAGGCTTCCGGAGGACCGAGAGCTTCTGCAGGAAGCCTTCTCTGGAGCACTTGGGTCCCCAGGCCTGATCCCAGCACTGTGGGGGCAGTGTGGAGCCGCCCGGAAGGGCCTTCTATGTGGTCTCTGGGAAGCTGCAGTGGGACCAGCTGGGCAGGCCGGGCTGTGTCAGACTCTGCTCTGCCCTCTGCCCCACCTTGGCCACCCACTGGAGATTCTGGGGAGCTTAGCAAACACACTGCAGCCCCGCCCTGCCCTGGGGTCCCACTCTGCGGAGGTGCCAGGAGGTGAGCACCTCTGGAAGGTTCTGGTGGCCTGAGGTGGGGATGACATAGCAATGGTTGGCTTTACTCTCTGAGCCT